CGCCCAAGGTAACGGGGAGCTGCCGTGTGGAGCTGCCACACCGTGCAGTTCCAAACGCCCGGCTCGCCCCGAGGTGAGAGCCGCGTAGGAAAATACCCAGGCTTGCCCGTTCCTTCAGGTGTTCCGTCCGCCTCAGTGAAGCAGCATTACCTGCCTCATGTACAACGCTTCAGGAGCCCTCCAACTCTCCAACACTGAGGGGTCATGCACTTGTTCCACGGAATCACAGAATGGGTCAGGTTGGAAGGGTCATCTGGTCCAACCTGCCTGCTCAAGCAGCATTGTGTTCCTTAATACCTCCATTGGGATTGCTCTCTGGGCCATCTCTTTCAGTGCACCCGCACAGTAAAGAAATTCTTCTTCATATTCAGGTGGAACTTCTGTGCATCAGTTTCTGCGAGTTGCTTCTTGTCCTATTGCTTGGCACCACTAAGAGCTTGGCTCCATCTTTTTGGCACCTCTTCTTCAGATACTTACAAACACTGATGAAGTGCCCTCTCTGAAGGCTGAAGAGGTGCAGCTCCCTCAGCCTTTCCCCCTAAGACGCGTGCTCCGGTCTCTTGATCATCTTTGTAGCCCTCTGCTGGACCTGCTTCAGAAACTCCGCGTGTCTCTTGTACTGAGGACACCAACTTTGTATTTAAAATAACACAGAATCTCAGGGCTAGTGCTACAGAAAACATCACTCAAACAGATTATATAGTCAGAAAACAATAAAAGTCAATGTTTGGGCTTTGAGTGGGGTGATAGTTTCAACACAGGTGGAGAACACTAAAATTTCAGGACCATCCACCATGCGATAACATAAACATATAGAAGTTAATTTACAATGTTGTACAAAGATTCAATCTAAGCAGCAGGTGCTATGAAAATCACAAGTTATTAAACTTAATAAGGTGATACTCTAACACCAACAATGCAACTGGCAAAATTGCACATGGTTGGTAAATGACCGTGTCCTGCAAGCAGTCCCTTTCTGTTCACAGGTGGTCTCTGAGGGATCAAGTGCCTTATTCAAATTCATTTCGCTCTGGCTTAGTGCTTTCTGGTGTTCACATCTAATGCATCCTCATTTGAGACCTGTGCATGGAAATAAGGTGCTCTGTGTCACAGCTTTCTGGAAGTGCAGTACAATGGATGTAAAACAGTAGTCGAAAGGGCATATTTTACTAATTGGCATTGGCTCACTCTGTGACTTCAGCCCATGTAACTTTATCTCTGCTTCTCCATCTAGAGGTAGAGATAATACATCTCAGTACAAATAAAGACAGAGAACACTGGATTTTTGGTAAAAGCTCTTCATAGGTGAAGAAAGAACAGACAGGCTGGGAAATTGTTAACTTTCGTTTGCTTACCATCTTCTTAGGTTGCAGGTACATACTTAAGTACAACAAAGAAGTCAATGAGTGGTTAACTAAAGCTAATCAAAGCAGAAAATACAGATGTCTTAGTTTCTCCATTGGTTCTGGTGCTTCAGCTCCTTGGGGCAGAAAGGACCCAATAAAAGGGGCTTAACAGCATTTATCATTGTCAGTGTTCTGCAAGGCCAATATTACAAATGACATTCAGCTCTGACAAAACTTAACCATTTAACCTTCTCCAGTGTGTAACAGAATCTTTTAAGCTTGATAGCAAGATGAGGAAGAAAAAGATATGCTGAAAAGCAGTAGTAAAGAAAACCTGGAAGAATGGCATATAAATTCTTACTGCTCTCCAGTATAATTTTTAAGAGTTTAATATTTATTCAGATTTTACAATGATGAGAACTCTACTCAGACCAGATTTTCATAAAATGAATAAAAATTTACTTGAAATGAATACTAATTAAAGACATTCTTCATTAAAATCCTTTGGAAAAAGGGCTAGAGCTTCAGAAAGGACACTTTGAAGCAGCTGTGGATTATGTTAACAAACAGATTGTATTCAGTTTACAATATGGCTAAAAAGAGGTAGTATAAACATTGTCTTGCAAAGTGGATCAATTTAACCATCTTTTAAAAATACTTAAAAGAAGAGAGATTTTTAATATGTAGACATTTAAAGAAATTCTGTGTCAAGTGTTTATTAAAACTCTAGGTTATGAAAGTGGAAATAACTTTAAAAAATAAACAGCTTAAGGAGGAAAAATGAGTTATTTTCACATTCCAACAACATTTGAATTAATAATACTACAAGGAAATGTTTAAACTTTATTTTTAAATTATATATTGTTTAGAAATAAAGATAAAAGCTTGTTTCTCTTGAGTTTTGTAGTCCTGTATGTCAACATCTAAATGCCATATCTAGGTTTTAGAACTGATTCAACTTTTGCTGATCTATTGCTTAGTTTCAGTGATTTCTTGTTCATCATAGACACTTAAAGACAGTAATAGAAAGATGAGGTACTGAGTGTCTGAAAGTAAAAAGGGAATCCTAGTCCCTAAAACATTTTTTGCCCAGAATAACCAGTACACTCAGAGGTGCCTGGCAATTTCCAAGCAGGCAAAAGGAACTTGTGTGACTACATTTATATAAAGTCCATAAAATTATTATTTTTTTCTCAGAGGAGTGTGTGCACTTAACTCCTGAACCAATATAATTTACATTGCTACTGTGGAGAAACTGAGGCTGCAGATCCAGCAATGATACATTTGAGTAATCTTCTAGAAGTTTTCAAAAGATTGAAATTTATAAACATATAATCCAGCTACATAGGTGAGCAAATCATATAATTTTTTTGTTGGGCTCTATTTTAGACTTTGCTAATATACTCACCTAGCAATAGGAATTAAGTTGTCTTTTTTAGCTAGGGAACTGGAAAGAATTAACTTGAAAATGAACTGGGCTTTTTTTGTGAGGCAATGTGAAAAATGTCCCTCTGGACCACTTATTTTTATACTGCTTGCATCTTCATGCTTGACTGAGGGATAGATTTGTTATCTCTAGCAAACCTTAGTGAAAAGAGTTTGGCTGTGCTGTAATAACTGAGACTGAACTCTGAAGAATATTCCTGATCTGTTACATTCTTAAAACACTACAAATTAAGCTCTTAAGTGATACAACTAAATTGAAAAAGGATAAAGTTTTAGTCTAGCGTATTTAAGAACCTATCTTTTTTTAACCTCAAGGATTTATTTATTAACAGTTCTGAGCTATTGGGTTTGCAAAGGTAGAATCCAAAGACAGTAAACATTGATATGATTTTTAAATAACTTCTTTATCCTCTGCTTTCCGTTCAAATACGCGAGTGTTTTGGAAATAGGTGTATTGATAATCTGTTAAAGTAAGAAGTGGGTTTTTTTCTCAAGCCATTCATGTATATCCTTCTAAAACTGCCTTGGGTTTTCACTCTGAGGACTTAAGGCAGGAGCCACCTTTGACGCGGCATGTAATGAGAATCGTGCAAACTACCCATGTTGGGCTTGAGGTACAATGTGCATGTTTGATTCATGTTCTGGGTAGCTCACCTGTGTAGGTGTTGATCCAGTTTATACTGACAGCTGCCTGCTTGTCTGCCCTGACATTATGAGCTCTGCTGGACAAGGGCCAGCACGGTGCTGAGAGCAGAGGTACCTCGGTGCAAATACGTGATCTGTTTTGTGAAACAGCTGAGTGATTATGCTGCACGGCATCATGATGGTAGACTGGATTCACCTGAATCCAGTGAGTAGCTGGATATCTCAACCTTTGTTTTGGTGTCTGTTTTTATTATAGAGCTGTACAGGGCAGATTAAAGTAACTTCTTTTCCACCAGTTTAAAATGAGTCAGTGGAGGAAAAAGGACAGCTGCTGTATTTCGTAATGAACCATCTGGCATTTCTTGATAGATCCTCTGATTCCTAATTTACTACTGAATTGTGGCAGCAAGAAAATCAAAATTATTGATTGTGTGGAATCAATTTCCACTGGCAATTGTTGTGCTCCTTCGGTTTCTGTCAAAGGATAGTCATAGGAGGGATAAGGACCTCTCACACTGAGCTTTACAAGGCTTGAAAGTCATCTATACCACTTGCCTTTTTTTTGGTAATCATGCTGCTTGACATTTATTCTGGAGGACTGACTTTCCACATAATCACATCTGATCTGAACCTTACAGAAAGTGGCACTAATCAGTTTTAAGGTTCCACAAGGCAGCTCCTGTGTAAGGTTTGTATTCTGTTTTGTTCCTTTTCATTCATGGCTTTTTTTAAAACTTCCACTGCTAGAAGTTTAAGAAATAAACTAACTAGCTAGCTGGAATTAGAGATTCAAAAAATACAAATGCAGGAGAGAGATGCAGTAGAGGATTAACTAGTCAAATAGAGGACTACGTTTTCAGTCTGAATTTATTTTAAAATTATCTAAG